TCCTCGAGGAGGATTTTTCCTCTTGTGTTCTGATGCAGGATCTGCACTGCAAGTACTTGAACTTGAACTTTATTGCCATAAGTAACCGGTACTGGTACAATGGAATTCTTACTTACAGAAAGTCTCTCGATTGTAAAACAAGTGTAAAAAACAAAACATTGTGCAAACAGTGCATCAAGACAATATACAAACAAACAGTAGACAGTGTGCAAATAAACATTTAGACAGTTTGAATGTAAACAATACAGACATGTAAACAATGACTGGAGATGTGCAATAGATAAGAAATCATAAAGAGGTAGATGGTGATGGTGTAGGTGTGGTCCGTGGGGGATGGCTAAATGTGTTCGCCAATCTCACTGCTTGTGGATAGAAGCTATGTGTCTAACCAAGGGCAGTGCAGAAAGATCCCTGTGTCTGGTTACCCGGAGGTGGGTGTACCTGTCGGACTGGCCGAGCTGATCTGCGGGTGTCCTGCCCAGGGCTCCACCAGCTGGACGGACATCATCAGCATCATGGTCAGAAGAAGCATCGTGGACTCTGTTCTGAGGGGACTGCACGGCATCTCTTTTCCAGTGTGTCCCATTTCCTTTCCTGATCACCCAGTGGCTGCTGAAGTTCAGAGGGGGAAAAAAAATACATAAGCAGACATGTAAATTCATGAAAGGGTTTTGCTTTAATAAACTCACTGTTTTCTTTTCAGTGTTTCAATGTTTACGTGCTCTTCCAGTGTTCGACCTTTAATGAGAGGCAATCCCACGCTGCCCGACAAGGCATTAGAAGGTAGATCGAAGCTCGTGATTCCTGCGCTTTCACACTGTTGAAGTCCCATTCTGTTTCAGTTTTGTCAAGAGGACACTCATTGGAAAATAGTTTTGTTTGTGCTTTGAAACGTTCAATCATCCAGCCCTCCCAGACTTGCAGTTTTTTTTGAATGTCAGCATGACTGAACACACCGATCTGAAATATATAGGTTGTTGTGTCTGGTTTTGTGGCGTTGAGCTGCACGCCCCCCTGCTTGACTCAGCCTGAGTTGTCTGCATCGGAGGCATCAGGAGTAACTCTGTGGTATTACCTTCCCAGTGCCCTAGAGAGATGAAAGGGGCAAAAGGCACACTGACACACAGATCCTGTGGGGGGTGGGGAAAGGTCAGGATCTACTTCCTGGGGAGCTCACAGTGTCAGCTATGAAAGGGGCTCTTCCTTTCTCCTAATGCACTTCAAAAACAGCACTGCGCCACTGGAACACAAACATCAAGAGCCCCCTGCCCCTCAGACACCCTGCTTCCAAACTCTCACATCTGTGACCCATTAAACCTTTAAACCCCTCTGGTGCTTTCAGAACTGAACTGGACCTTCTGACAACTCAACACAGGAACCCAGTAATGACTTGAGGGATTACTGTGAACTCATTTTCTTAGTTTTGCACTGAGGAAACAACTCGCAGCCCTGAAATGCTTCATCTAAAAAGTCAGCATATCACCCAACACGAAAAAAGAAATAATGAAAAAGATTTGACTTTCATAGTTTAATATTTGATCAGTATACATGTGAAGTTTTGACCAGACACCCCTGGTCTAGAGCTCTTATGAGAGATCCTACCTAGCAGAAAAAATTAACATGAAAGAGAAAACGATTCTGATAATGTGCTATTTTTTCTCTTAATTTACATTGATTGACTTTGTAACACATAAAGTAACATCGTGCGTCAGTCTCTATCGATCTCTGCATTGTTTCCAAATTTGAAAACACATTGAGGCATTACTGCTTGTAGAGTTGTGTCCATTTTAGCAACTGAACTTAATTTGACAGATTATCAGCCTTGATTACCATCCAAAATGTACTGTAAAATATATGAAACAGCAGCTCTTGACATCTACAGATATGTAAACTGAAGATACTGCACTGAAGAAACAGTTTATACTTTATACAGTATACAATGAGGTTGTCAACTTGCTGTTGACAACTTCTGCATCTTATTTTTAAAAATATTGCATATTTCCCCTTCATTGCACTTACAAAAGTAAAAACATTAATTCACAGTACTCCCTCAAGTCATTACTGGTTTCCCTTCTGTGCTCCTGTGCTCCTGTGTTGTGTTGTCAGAAGGTCCAGTTCAGAGAAGATGTGAAAGAGGTTTATTAGGTAATGAAGAGGCCTCTGGAAGATTAGACTGACGGAGTGATTCTCTCTCTATCTGATCTGCTTACCATTATCCACAAGCACCTATTATACTTGGCATTCAGAGAATCACACAATTTAGAGTGATCCACATATACAGTATACAATTAGCCTTTTGATCCTTCCTTCAGACTTCCATACAGTATATGTGAGACAGCGGTATGCTTACTCAGCCTGTCTGTCAGTTTCTTCTGTGAAAATAACAGGTGTCTACATAGTATGTCTTTCACACAGAGGATCTCCCATCCGCCCTGGCCAGGTACTACAGCATGATGGCAGAGCAAAGCTTCTGAGCGCTTACCTTCTGCTGGAGTGCCGAGAGCACGTCTGTTGTTCACTGTGTTGGTATCCCTTATGCTGAGAAGCACAGAGCAGCAGGTCTCGGACTGGACTCCTCTTTACTCTCTGGGACTGGACCACTATTATATCACTCCAAGGCGTGCGTCACTCTCCCTCCCCCTCCACCGACACAACACCCAGCCCCACTCCTACCCCTTGCTCTCCTGCCTGACCCACCTTCCTAAACCAGACCATTATTTGTCTCTGATTCTTCATTTCCTTGCCCTTGATTGAAATTCCTCCAGTTTTTTGTCCCTGAATAGATCGAAATAAGATTTTCTAATTGCGGCTCCAGTTGTGGTGAATTGGATTCTATTCCAGATCTCCTTTAGCTAAAAGGGAAGTTAGGATGAGTGCATCAAGGATGTCAACATGGCCATGTGAGGAATGTATGTACCTTACCAGTTAAGGGTTTTGTTGACTAGAATTCACGGACAGAGAAGTGGGTTATAAAATAATCAATTTCCTGCCCTCAGAGCTGCTTTCTCTTTTTAATAGCATCTGACACATGGCACTCTCCAGTTCAAACCACCAGACTGCACCGTGTGCATTTCACAGGGGAGAGTCAGCACTGGGTGCAGTGTGGTTTTACACCTACACGTGGCACTGCAATGCTCTGACACTTCTACATAGCCCTGCAGGGCAATGCAGTGGCGTGGAGCTGAATGCAGCTGCATCACATCTCTTGAGCACGAGGTTTGATTCCGGACTGTGGCTCCTTCTGTGTGGAGTTTGCATGTCCTCCACAGTCATGCTCCAAAGGCACGCAGTCCTGGTCCATTGATATCTCTGAATTGCCCATTTACATTGTGAGTGATTGTGAGTCTGTGTACCTTCCGATGGAGGGGAGTCCTGTCCCAGGGCGTAGCCCCTGCTGGGTCAGGCTGGAGCTCACTTCAGCCATCGCCGGATAAAGTGGTTACAGCACACACAGCAATGCATTCAGGAGAACGGCTGTGGCAGAGGCATGGAGAACCAGCCGAATGACTGCATTTTAAAATGACTGTATTTAATTTAGAAAGTTAATATTTCCTGTGCTTTGATGAGACGTTTATTCACTGCTCTAAAAGAAGAGCCGCGGAAATGACTATTGGCCTGCTGAGCTAGAGCTGTGACTTTGGATGGTGTTGTGCAGTGTTGCACGAGTCATCACGTGTCCAATTTGAATTCTTCATTTTGTTTGGGTTGGTTTCGGTCTCTCTCATGACATGATGCATCCTAAAGTATTGTGAGCAGATAAACACAGAACAGTTGAGCCTAAGCAGCTCGAGGAAAAACGATTTTCCTCTTACAGTCAGACAGCGCTGCTCAGAGCTGGTTCTCAAACCTAAGGCCAGAATCTTTTCAATTTGCCACAAGCTTCTATAATTTCTCTGGTTTGGCTGGGAATTAGTAACAAGGTTGTTCTGAGGAGACAGTACAGGAGTCTGGGAACCAGCTGAAAATGATGTGTCTGCTAAAATAAATGAGTACAGGGAGCTTTCTTCAGAGCCGTTCTTTCTGGTCAGAGCTGCTGATGGCTCCAACTCGACTTGCCTGCAAGCTTAGTCAGTGACTGTGCAAGTAGTTATGGATGGATTTTCTCTCTTTCTTTTTAAATTGAAAACAAGTTTAAAAACGTTTTTTTTTAAACTTCTCAAAACAGATTTGTGAAATAACTTTTATTTGCGGGTTAAGGAATTAATTTAAAGGGGAGTGAGGTATCCTAGCCAATCCTAACTCTGCTGGTTAGCAGCATAAAGCCTCACAGATCACAAGTCTCAGGTTTGAGCTGCTGTACTAAACAAACCACATTATAGTCAATCCCAAATCAGAAGAAAATACACCATACATGGAATATGACTACTGAAACAAGACAAAGGCTTTATCGTGCACAACACAACTGCGTGACCTAGGTACAGGGCCTAATTGGTCACTTTGCAAAGCTTACAGAAGGGTGATGCAGTGGGGACGTTTTAAAATGTTTACTATGTTAATTATTAGATGTATCCAAGACTGCAAGAGGGTATACAACACAGATCATTGTAGGCTTTGGGGACCCTCATGGGGGTGTCCTTGAGAGTCAAGCAGCCTTGGGGTACAGCAACCCCCCCAAAAAAAAAATTAAATCCCCAAATTATTGATTTAAATTCCCAAACTTTTCAGTCCTTGATTGCTTCCTTTCGGCCTGAGTCCTGGTCACTGCTCGTGCCAGGTGCTGAGGAAGAAGGACAAGGACAAGAAGCACACTGGGGCTGATCCTCTCACACAGGCTCAGGTCATTCATGGGAAAGGCTCAGAGGTCTGGGAGCGTCTCATGTCCCTGGACCCCAGAACAAAATAACAAGCCCAGATGCTTCAAAATGAAGACCTCCACTGCCTCTGTATTAAGTTCTGGGCCAGACATCCTCAAACCATAGAGCTGCTGCTGCCAGACAGTCTGTTGAGGAGCTGGAGAGAGAAATATGAGTCACATTTACATGCCTCTACAATTTCTCTTATCTGTCACAAATGCTGCACAACGTTTCCTTTTCAAAACTGCAAGGAAGCTAGCTGCCCTGAAACTCTCCTCACTCACAAATCTCAAACGATGATTCAGAGGCAATCAAACTAGACCATCTGTATGTAAATCTACCGGTATAATTATAGTAGCATCACACAATAGACTGTATTTCTTACCGAGCCGAGGAATGGAATGTTTACTAAAGACCCAAGGAATCCAAATGCCATAGGAAAGAAAGTCCTGGAGGGATAAAACACAAATTTGAACTTTCAGCCTCAGATCGGAAACACTATTTCCACGCCAGCACATGGCTCAGCCGCGCCATTCAGTGATATGGATATTTTTGTCTCTGTGATTTCTGTCTCCTGAGAGTTGTCTGGGAAATGGAGGCTGAAACACTGTTATGATTTATAGGAAGACGCAGTCTCTTGGAAGATTTGTCAAGAGATAAAGGCAACTGGTATAGTGTTGATATGACCATATACTGGAGTAAAGCCACAAGAGAAGCATTCAACAGTGTAATTCGTAGGATCGTCTTATCCTACATTTATCCAGTTATAGGAATCCTTGATTTTATAACACTAATAGATGTTATCAGCACAATCCTTTTTTCACCAGTGGGCAAATAGTACTGTCCTGGGAGTTTTGGAAGAGAATGTGACTATAATATGAAGCTCCACCTGGGGGCCCCCTCCTCCCTCCGCAAGCCCCCCTGTCCAACCCTTGTCAGCTGGTCAGCCCCACTCACCGGAACAGCAGAACAAAGCCGTAAGTCTCCATCACCATGCCAACCACCGGCCAGCGCAGCAGAACCAGAGCCACACCCCCCAGGAAGAAGGCGGAGCCTCGGAGCTTGTGGCGCTGGAAGAAGAACTGGAACGTTCTCCTGAGGCCAATGATCACAGCCAGGCCCGCCAGGAATAGGATCTAGGGCACAGGAGACCCAGGCTTACTGGTAGTGTGCAAAGGAACAAGTAATAGGTTTATTCTATGCTGAAAAAAAAGAAGAAAGAAAACACAACTTTTCGGCCCTGGAGCCTTCTTCAGGTGTGAGGTGTTACTGGTAGTGTGTCAGCAGAATGGGTTTGCAGTCAGGGTTTTCCTTGTGAAAATCGAATGTGGTGTATGCAGTAAATCATAGTTAAACCATGGTAAAGCCGAAGGAGGGCAGTAAAGTATGATAACTACTGTAACAACCGAGAAAAATACAACCATTTTCCTGTCCAGCTCTCACAGAGCACTGCGAGTTGGCTCAGCACAGGCCTTCAGCACACACATCTCCTTAACAGTGTAACTGAATTACTTATCTACTGACCAAGCGAGAATCCAAATGCCCGGTTTTTGTTCTCTCTTCTTTAATTACAGTACCTGTGGTTGGCACTTTCAGGCTGCTGTTTTCTTCAAGATGTACAGTAGTTACACACTTGTCTTCCCCTTAGAAAGTACCTTATGAATTTTGAGTCATTAAACATATGAGGTGTCAACAGGCCTGGCGGGGTTTCTGTACTTTACTAATGTCACCACAGAAACAACATGTTACGCCAAATGCTGACAGTTTAACATTAGCCTATCAGAAGCTGATACAGGTAGCTAAAAATACAAAGTAGCATCCCTGCAGAACAGATGTACACAAGTCAGTCATGCTTTGTTTGAATAAGGCTTTATGTAGCCTTCATAATACTCTCTTAGAGGCTATATAAAACGTAGGGAAGGAGTGAGAAACTTGAATTAATGGAGAAATAAACTTTAAGAAGGCTAGATTGTACAAGCCCAGAATGAAATTTAATCAGCACACATAAAACAGCAGAAAACAGTCTGCTGTAAAATAGGGCTCAGGCATTGCCAATGTTGTTGGAGTTGAAATAAATATCTCAATATGTCCCTGAGTCAGAGTGTGGAGCTGTGAAGTGACTCACATTTCCGAAGGCCAGCAAGACAGAGTCAAAGTACAGCAGCACTCCGAACATCAGGAAGAACAGACCGAACGCTGTCAGGCCCACGCCCAGCTCTGGAAGAGGGGCAGAGGGGAAAGACAGCAAGTCAAAAGGCGAATGAGAGACAGGACAAGCACGCTGCCCCCTCTGTACCCTGCTTCACAACCTTTTCAATACTTAGTAGCTCTCAAAACACACCACCATCAGACAGATTTCATGACAACAATAACTGAACATTTGAGACAGAGAAAAGGAGACATTTCTTGACACAGAGAGCCGAGGGAACCTGAAACCAAATTCCTAACCTCCTTCCCACCAAGTTCACACCAGTGAAAATCATTAAGAAACAAATGGGATTCTCAGATCATTAAGTGGGTAGCATTGAACCAAGAAAGATGGGGGCGAATGGACTCCTCTCAGTTCTAACCTTTCCTTTGTCCTCTTGTTCTAATAATGAGTGCAGACAGCTCCTCTAGCTGCAGAAGATAAATCTATAAATGAGACCTAAAGTCTTAAACATTACTTTATGCACACAATTACCTCAATTAGCAGGGCCACGCTCTCCCATATCTTTAACATAATAACGTCAAGGTAAAATTCCATTCTTGGCCATTGCCTGATAGGTATGTATGAAATCATTTTAAGGTGTACACAATAACTTCAGAAGAAACATCTGAGATCTACAGTATAATCCACTTATTGCTCCTCAGTCAGACACCAGCATGGCCTCTCTGTCCAAGATCTCAAGCTTCATCCCGATTTATACTGTAGGCAACTAGTGAAAAATAAGCAATGGCATTGCCAGACATGTAACTGTCCACAACAATGCTTAAGTGTCTGGAAGAAAATGAACAAAAAAAGGCTTCAAAACTTCCCTGCACTCACTCTGGACGTCTGTGACTGTGATCATCGTGTCTTCCTGTTTCTCCTCAGGCCGGGCAGTATCAGGAGTCCCAGCACTCTGCCCCTTTAGCTGCTCTGTCATTCACAACCTGGGTAATTATTAACTAAACATGGGGTGAACTGAGCAAAATAGATTAGCTTTCTAACAATGTTTCTGCACTGCAATGCTATTCTCCACTTATGAACAGCCTTATATACACTAATTACAGACACTCAAACAATGAGCATTTTCTGAGCCTTTAGAAGTTTATGACTTGGGAAGTAGAAGAGGTCCTTATCTTCAAAGACAACATTAAATTATAAAAATTTGATCTTGGTTTCAGTCATGTTAACTTCTAAGTGAAAATATTTTTAATTGTTTACAGATCATTTTTCACATTTGTAGGACATAGAGATATAATTCTACATTATGCATGGACATAGTATATACTTACCGCAGAGACAGAAGGCTACACGATTAAAAGCTTTTAATGCTTAGAATAATCCACCCATTTCTTAACCACTTTATCCAAGGTTGTAGGGCAACTGAAGCCCAGCCCTGCAAGCAACAGGTACAGGACAGGATGCGACACCAGTCCATTGCAGTGCTTTGAATAATATGCAGAGAAAATGACATATCCCTCCCACTGTAATCACACCTTTTGTTAACAAATAGGTGAGGATATGAGGCTTTCATCTTTGTTTCAAATACATTTTATTGGAGTTTTTAAATTATACATTTTGAAACAAACTTGTATTGACAAAACACATCTTGCATTTCAGATCTAAACCTTGGCTTTTACAGTACTGCCCGGTCCATGAGGGGCTCAATCCAGGCTGCTACTCTGCACTGCAACACGTAAAAGGTTTGGGAAACTTACTTATTAAAAAGTAATTAGTTACAGCTACAAGTTACTTAATAAGCGGTAATTCTTAATAAGAAGTTGAGAGGCATTGCTTTTCAGGGAAAATTAATGAGTCTACATGGTAATGACATCCACACATCCACAGAACACTCTAACTGATGACTTTACAGGAATTTCTCTGAGATTATTGTTATTTTTAAAAAGTAGTCCCTTACACAGGTATTGTGTAACTGTATAAAATACTTTTTTTCAAGTAACTTTCCCCAGAACCAACACATCAACACATCTATTGCTACAGCAGTGCTATGACAACCTAATTTGGTCTGTGATCCAGGCTGGTTCTTTTGCAACAGACATCATTAGCGTCGAGCTCTGCCAGACTAAAATGACCCCCTACATCCAGATAGTCGTCCAGTTTTCCAAAAAGGGGCTCACAACTGTGGATAAAAATCAGCCCTCTTCATGTTCATCTGCCTTGGGGCCTATGTGACATGCAAGGCCAAGGGATCAGATATTGCTATGTTTGGGTCTGCTCCACTTTGTGCTTGGTATTGTGTCCCCATACGAATCATCAGTCTGTAAAGTCTGCACATTTTAATGTGGCAGGGCTCTGCAATGTTTTTGGCAGTGTTACTCATCATATCCACAAAATAACAATGATACCAAAAATAACATTAATAATATATTACTATTAAGAGTAAGCTGTTATTCTGTTGGAAAAAAAATACTGCTGTTTTCCCTTAAAATCATCTAAACAAAAAGGCAAAACTATTCAGATACATTCGCTTTATTGCAAGAACAATAAATTCTTAAAGCAAGCCTGTTTTATTTTTTTGCATAGTACAAGCAGTTTTTTTTAACGTCCCCCAAACAGCAACACTGAAAACTAACACATTTCCTCTAACCACAAAAGACAACGAAACGGGCACAATTCTGATCTAGCAGACAAGCGGACTTTAACAGTGTTCTCTGCTGAGTGGTAGGTTCCCCATCTCTGGTCATTGACAACAACACAGACAAGGGTCAGATCTCCTGGGTTTGTTTATATCAGCTGGACAGAGCAGGATTGGTCAAAATGAGCCTTTTGTCAACAGGCATTAGAGGCTGATGATGTTTTAAACAGACCATGAAAATGCTGTATTACAATCCTCATGACCTGAGGGTATCTGACCTACCAAGACAAAGTTGTTGTTTTTATTCATTCGCACCAAATCACTTTTTTTCCCATTTGAACCAAATAACCTAACCTAACGCTCTTACAATGCCCATTTTAGCTTGTCCCTTTGGTTGACCATTTAACGTGTTTTATGAACATACTGGAATTAAGTGAAACACTATGGTGGGTGCTCAATGACTGTGACTTAGATTATCACACAAATTCATTCTAACTTAATGCAACATCTCAGTGTAATCAGTGTATACTGTCTTGTACGCTTTAAACAACAATGGCAACTGCACTGTCAGTAAGTGCTGCACACTCTGCTCATTTTAAGTTTTTTTTTTCCAATATGCAGAGATTCCACATGTATTTCTTTTTCTAGTTAGATATACAAGCTGCCTTTCAGGAAACTCTATCTGGCTATTTTATTTAGCTAAAAACATACCTGCTTTCATTTTCTGTATCTAAGAAGATTGCTGTTTGGGATCGATGAAAACTGCTTCAAAAGTTATCATTTAATTTATTTTATTGTTTTTTTGCTTATCAATAAACACAGCTCAATGTTAGCTAGAAATAGTGGATATATTTTCACAGAAACAGAAGGCAACACTTTCTCCGTGTAATAGGATAGCAAGTAAAAGCCACTCACACAAGGGCACAGCCGACGTGAGAGCTGCACCCTTACCCACAGTTTTAAAGCTCAAATGCGAATGGTTGGTCTGATGGCCTGAGTGCTCGCAGTAGAGACAGGAGACAGGTCAGATCCAGAACGGGCCAGCAACTCATTGGCGGAAGGAGTATATCACACCCTTTTCAGTGTCTAAGATAGCCGTTAACATTGGGTGACTCTGGTGCCCATTCTGGGGGGGCACACGTCTGAACTCTTCTGAGCTGAGCAAGCCCTCAGCAGCAGGACAGGCACCTGCTAGGTGATCAAGGCTCCAGGTGCCAACTGTAGATGATTCAGAGCATTTAGTGCTCGGAAATGAGAGAGAACAAGCCAATCCACGCTGTCATTTCAACTCATGCTCTTCACCATCAAACGCTGTCCTAAGACACTGTCCTGGTGGATGTCGCCATGTTGAGCAAAGGCAAAACCAAAGTGAACGACTCTAAAGTTAATTAGCTCAAAGAAGAAGTGCAAGAATTTCTCTGGCTCAGAGTCCTAACCACTACTCAGCACAGTCCTCTCCTTTATGAAATGTAGACATTGTGACGATTAAATTACATGCTCAGGCCTAATTGAAATGTCCTGTGAACTTTTACAGTACAAACCCAACAATTCAAACCATAAAAAGTGTGTTCCATCTAGAAACGAAACAAATGATCTGCAATCTCTCTGAGCAGGCCGCGATAGTTTTATCGAAGTGATACAAAAAGCACATACCACATTATTAAGTTTGTTTTTCCTGTTTTCTGCAAATGTACAAGTAGAAAATGTACAGTGGAGGTGTATTTTTCATGTAAACATTTGGCTTTGAATTTTGTATTTTTAAAAAATACAGCACACACCACATTGATGATACAACAGAAACCCATAAAGACGCCTTTTCTGCACACCATTAAATGAATAAAAAAAGTTGAACCCAAAGTCAACATCTGATGATTTTAAGATGGGTATCAATGAAATATCAAATACAAATGTAACAGTTAACAATTTCATTTGCTAGCTTTAAAGCCTGTGATTGAAGTCATAGGTAAAAATGCTTTGCGTTGAGTGTCTGTACTGCAAGCTGTTGATCCATCTTGACCTTGACAAACAGGCATTTCAACTAAGCAAACTTAAAATTCTAAGGTCACTTCTTTTCTTTCTGTTTCATTTACAGTTTTTCTGATGTTAAGAGTATCAGTATCATAACTGCAGATATATGCAGCGAATGCGCTGTGTACAATAAAGACAATGAAAAGGAACGGTAAGTATATAAGTATACCTAATTATAGGGTTTATCAACAAAGTGCTGAGAGATGTCACACTGCAGGGATACTAGTACAACAAGCCCTATTTAAGGAAGAAAAATGGGGATTAGAGTTTAATCGAAGCAGAGCCTCGATGGAGCTGGACAGAGCGTGATTAATTCTGGTGTGTTGGGAACATATGTCCGATAGAGCCATGAGCAGGTATACAAGTAGAAAGTCTGTGCTCTTGGAAATGCTACAAACTCCAACCCACAATGCTGACATTCACTCCACATGACTGGAACCAGCAATTGCTGGTGGACTGGTCCCAGCGCTAAAAGACGCAAAGCTGCCGGCCTGTCTCTTCTCCGCCTAGATCAACAGGGTACGGTCAGATTGCACTGCGATCGCAAAGGTTCAGGCATTGGGTTTGAAAAGACCACTAAGACGTCAGCCGGCTGTTGCAGCCCGAGTGATGTCAAGTCATTTAGAGGTGCATGGAGATGTCTTCTTGCTTTTCTTGTTTAACTTTGGTTCTTGAGTTTTGGTCAGGTCTACAACACCCTGGAACATCCACAGCCCCCACAGTATCACTTCCCCTCACCATCAACCTTCTTGCCTGGTCTCCGTCCAGTGTATCATGGCTCCCAGCCCCATGCAGAATGAACTGCCCTGTCAGAAGCAGAGCCCTTGTGACCATCTGGCTCAATCCGGGTTTAGAATTTTACCGACCGCAGCTACATTCCATTAAGACCAACAAAAGGGAAAAGCAGTAACGCTTAGAGAACTTGCACTGCACTCCTCTGTGTCTGATGAATGCTTGGTGGTTCTAGATGACTGGTGTCGAAATCTGTCACCAATCAGTTACTGTATGTTCTCCAACCTGTGCTGGCTTTCTCACCACAGCAGGGTTTCGACGTTCATCTCCAAAATGACCGCATTCTGCTTGACACACGCCAATCAGCGGAGATTCTGGCCGTCGGTTAGCAGTTAATGGAGACTGCCTGTGGCTGATCGTATGGACAAGATGACGTCCCGCCCTAGAGTTAGTAGGCCTGTACTGCTCTGTGACATAACAGAGAACGTTACAGTCGTGGGCTCCCAGTGTTCTTACTCATATTCTCTCGCAGTCATTAAAATAACGGAATGAAAAAATATACTCTATGGGCAAAAGAAAAAAAAAACTTTTCTTTCTTCATCAAGTGCTCAGAACGTTGCTCCATGGAACTTCACAGCAGCTAGGGCCTGAGCTGAGAACATTGAGAAAAGAAGAGAAAGAAAGATTAAGAAAAGCAGTAAGTTAGCTGATTTGCGTCCTTCTGATGAATATTTTGATCTTTGCATATTAGCTGTTGAAGCAGAAGCCCAATATTTAAGCAGCCTAGTGGCTCCGGTAGATCACCTGATTCCTTTCAAATACATTTTGAAACCGCATGACACTCTTGTCTTGTCATATGTATTTACCATATTTATTACATTAATGATGAAAATGTCAAATGATTTTGCTTGATTACTTTTTTCACTGACAATACAAAATTCACCAAAGTTAGATAGCCCAGTCACTATTCAGAAACTGAGATATTTTCAATACAGGGACACACTTATTCAATTTTCAACTCCTTATCCATTGTACATTTCATAAAACAGCATCTGAAAATCAAGGGTTACTTTCATGGTATATTAAGGGATTCTAGAAAGCTCCTTCAAGCTCACAAAATTACACAGGAGGAACTTTCAGTGGAACAAAGAGTGTCCAAGTGTCCAAAATATGCAAGAAAAGGTTATTTAAAGATAAGAACCAGAGTGAACTCCCAGCTGGCTACAAAACAATGACTCCAGGACTTCCATCTTGATCAAATACTGTGTAAAATTGTTCACCCTTCTTTACCTCCTTCACAGGTGATCAATTAAATATACAACTAGAATGATTCCAGGTAATTCTCCAGGGGAAATAAAAACAGAAATGTGCATTAAATTATGTGAGCCTCACCTCAGGCACTACAGTATTATCAAGCAGGCATCCCTGCAGTCCTTGACTTGCTCAGCACACCTCTGTACAGACTATCTCTTCCTTCTATCTCAAACCACAGGCTCGCAGCAGGATGGGTGTGAACTGATGGCAGGGCTCAGGGGGGCGGGGCTATCACTGGCACGGCAGTGCTGTGGGCGGGACTCACCTGGGGCAGCCTCAGACCTTCATGAAGTGGGAGGAGTCAGAGTGGTCGGCGGAAAGGGGGGGGACCAGGTCAGTCGGGGAGGCTGAAGGGCTGGGGGAGACGCACTGAGCTGGAATGGAATGGAGTGAATAATAAAAAAAAACAAAATATCCTGCTTTAAACAAAACACAGCTAGCTTTGTAGAGATGCAGTATCCGAAGCGGATAGGTGGGAAGTTGAGCAAGGTTGCTTAAGAAGGTGCATTACAGCTGGAATCGCTGTAGACTGAAGTGAGACCTCCAAAGAACGTTAAGTCTGACAGAAGATGTGACTACGCCCAACAAGTCTAAAACGACATTCACATCTTCAGAAAACAAGGCACTGAAAGACGGCCTTTATATCTGTGCATACAGATATGGTGTATTGTCACATGTGCGTGGATGAGAATGCTCAGCTGGTATGACGAACTGATGGATCAATTAATGTGATAAGCTGATGTGGGACATGCGGTGGAAGAAGGGCTGAGGCTTGAAGTGGAAATGAAGGGGTTAGAAATGAGTGCTGCGCAAATATCTTCAGGACTGCAGTGAATGTTCATGATCTGAAATGCTAGGAAAACCGCCAAGGCTCGGTATAAAAGGCAAACCACAAAAAACAAACTTAGTCGGTTCTCACAAAGACCTTCAAGGTGCGGATAACAACAGCTGTGATTCTGCCTACAAGTGCTTCAGTGACTTCAGCAGTTCTTCCACATCTGATATCCTGCTAGAGGATTCTGTCCTGCTGCCGTGAGGGTAATTATTTCCTGTAAAAAGCCATGTAATCCTGCATTTCTGACATCAATCACAGGGGAATGTTGCTTGGTGTTTTTGGATAAGGCCAACAGCTGTGGAGCGAGTGAGCCCGGGGCCGGCCTGGTGTCCTCACCGGAGAGCAGCCTGCTCCGGCGCGAGGCCTCGGCAGCGAGGGCGCACGAGATCTCGATCCGCTTCTCCTGCTCCTGCCGCTGCTGCTCCGGGTCCGCCTGGCCGTCCGCCGGCCCGTCCAGGAGGGGCACGATGTTCTGCAGGCTGCGCGAGGGGGAGGCGGAGTGAGAACAGCGAAGCTGCCGTGTCCACAGACGCATTCATGCATTAACAGTGGAACACGAGCCGAGACTACGTGGAGGTGCGTTTGGTACTGAGGACAAGGGGGCACATGTTTGCCTACAGGGTTGTGGGAGTCTGGAGCAAGGCATCTTGACGTGTTATTCAAACCAATACCCTGGGTTCATTCACGGTACAGCTGGATAAGATCCCTGGATCCATTAACTACTGTCAAACAGATACAGTAGATGGGCTGAATGGGTCCTCTTGTTTGTAATAATCTTTCTTAGGAAATAAACTTAAACTGAGAATGCTGTGGAGTCTAATGGTACAGAAAATGGTAGTATTCTTAGTCTTGTCCTGGAAGTGGAATTAAATCTATATGAAGTAAAAACACTCATCCTGTCCAGCTGTGATGAATTCCTAACCCCCCCCCTGCAGGCAAGGGCAAGAGGTGATGGTTAAACAAAAACACATGTGGAGCTTGAGGCTGGCGATTGCATCGTGTTTCTTTATGGAGCTTAAATTAGAGAATGATGGAGCAGGTATGGAGCCTCAAGTCACGGGCAAAGGCACTCTACACCTTGAAGAGAGGCCAGAGAAGCAACAGTCACGATTTGGGCTGGCACTTCCCCCATTGTGGGTCCGTCTGGGCCTCATCTTAGCTGGTTGAGGTGCAGCTGTAAGTACCTCACAATGCTACCACCTACTTTGACTTTGCGATGAGTGTCTTGATTCTTTCCACTTTCTTCTGCTTCTCTTGAATCTCTTCCGGGCTGAGCATCACCTCGGGTTCTGCATCCAGATATCGCTCCGGGATCAGAACCTTGTCTGGCATCAAGAGCTGCTCGGATAGATTTTTGGACAGAACTTAATTAATTTCACCTCACTTTTTCTGGACCTTATGGTTAATTCTGAAATGTTACTTTACCATGTAAAAACTATACACAGTAGAAGAAAAAAAGGTCGATTACTGTAATTTCATTAGGTTGTAAAGAGGTCAAAAAAGCAGCCAGTTCAAGGCCTACCTCCTTGCCAATGTCCAGGTCGTAGTGCTCAGGCTCGACCTGTAGGCGGCGCAGTCGCGCAATCTCCTCGCGTGGAGATTCCACCCCCTCCCCCCGTACCGCTGCTTCCAGGTCTTTGATGTCGACCTCGTGAGCAGTCAGCCTCCGACGTACCTGCGTGGGCGAAAGGGAACCAATTAGCGGAAGTGCGCCGGACCCATCTACCAATCGGTAAGGGCTGAGAAGTGGCTCATACCACCCTGTAGCTGACGGTAGGCTTGAGGCCGTCTATCTGCTGCCCGCTTGAGAGCTGCAGGCTGCGTCTCTTTTCCCGCATGGAGCTGCTCTGGTTTCTCCTGATCCTCTCGTTCTGCTCCTCCACGCTCATCTTGGACTTCACCTCTGCTTGGAACACCGCGCTTTTCGGGCGCTCCTGAAATAAAACAATTCTGGCTTAATAATCACTGCCCCTGCAGAAGGTCTCTAAGAGATTCTACTGCACAGTGAGCAGCTGTTTAAGATCTTACTTATGTACAGCTCTTACTGCAGAGAAGCATCATAGATGAGTAGCCCCGATGCAGCTGTAACAGAACTGAACGGTGCTACAACACTATGCATAAAATGGAGAAGACACAAGCACATCCACATTCTGTAGCTTATCCTCATGTACCATGCAATGGCAACTCTTATACACTTATATGTATACCACAGGCACAAAAGTACTGTGAGAAATCTGGGGCAGTCACTTTCCTGCAAGTAGGGATGCCCAATTTAAAACCATAGGCTCAATCAGATGTTGTGTGCTTTGAGTGCCCCATGTGGTCCTTACCCTGGAAATGTGCCCATTGGGCTGCTTCCCTGAGGCTTTACTGCGGGTCATGGGATCTGAAGAGTTTGTCTCATCCCTTGCAGGTGACTTAGTCCTTGGGGGAACAACACCAACTAGAAGCAGACAATTAATTAAAAAATAAGCAAACAGGCAGAAACACTGGATTATATAACTTGAAGAAATTGAGCTCCAAACCCTGGGAACACAGTCAGCTTTTTTGAAGAGTTATCTTATATCTTATTAAATGGTCTTGATAAATAAATATGATGAAAGCCTTTTCCAAGCATGACATAAGAAATGTTACAGAGGAGAGCAGTACAGCCTATCTATAGCCTGTTTTTGGCTGGTTGTTAAATATCCTCAGTTGGTTATTTATTTGAAGAAGTCAGGGTATCGGCTTCAACAAAATGACTACATATCTTGGTTGGCTTGTTACAAACCTCCAAAACCTCCTGTATAAAAATGTGCCTTTTGTTCTCAGTTTTAAATGGAAGTGTATGTAGTTTCCACTTGTGTCCTTTGGTGTGTGTTAAACTGTGGATTCTGAAGACGTCCTTTCTGTGGAACCTGTTCTCAATCCAGAGCACAGGGTTGATAGGCAGCAGAGCCACCTAAGGTGAGAATGGAATGAGGTGCCTAGCTCCCTTCTTCATGTGAACAAATCATCAGACCCTGGTAGAGGGTCATATCCAACTCAACCAGCACATTTTACGATATAAGAGGAAACTAAAGTTCCTGGAAATAACTTCTGTGAACCAGGGAATGAACATGAAGATGTGAGACAGCTTGGCTGACCACTGTGTCCAACAGGCCAGCTACACAACTACACAACTATGAAAACAAAAGTCAACCAACACAAAGACAACACATTCGCCTGGGAAAAGAAGAACTCTTTTCTGTCCAATGGTACCTTTATTTTGACTGCTCTGTCGTTCATGCTCTGCCTCCTGTTGTTCGCTGCCGTTGGGCTTTTCCCCAGTGGGCATGTGGGACATGTAAGAGAATTTGTGCTGGAAGACAGATACAGAACAGAAGAGCATTGGCTCTGTTAAGTCACGGTGTGTGTAAAAGGACACATGCGGAGAAAACAGTAAGGGCATTGTGCTACTGAGTCCAGCTCCCTGGCTCACTCACATCTGGAGAAAGAGATCCTACAAGATCTGGGTTTATTAAAATGGTCAGAGAACGTCAGATCGGTCACTCCAAAAGTCTCTAATCCTCTCAACAGTACAGAATTAGGAATTAAACTTCAGCTCAATAGGCTGTCCACTCTGCTGAGTGGAAAATGTAATTATAATTTGATAATCTGACTTTTGGATAATTTGACTTTTTTCATTCAATAAAACTTATTTTTGATCCTTTCAAACTACCCGTTTCATTCTTGAAACATTCAAGAATTCTTGAAACATTCATGTTTCCTTTCTTATTTTTCAGCCATTTGTGTAAAGAAACTGGTAAGAATACATTTTAAGCCATTTTAAAAAACTCTTTCATGGTCGGCTCTAAATAATTTCAAATTTCTCATCCTAGTGCAGTAAGATAGAAAATAACCTCACAAGCTCTTTTCAGAATCTAAAATGATTGTTGTTCAGCACTGAGTTTGAAAGTAACTTATATCACCAACCTTGCCGATTTTTTAATTTTGTTCATTAAAAAAATAATCTGGTGCCAGGCTACCCTACGTAGAAGCTCGCAATTCATAGTTCCCAGGAAGATGTGCCACAGTTTTCAAAGGACAGAGACAGAGGACAGACTGCATGACCAGACACAGGGACAGACAGACTGATGGACAAAGGAACGCACACGTCACAACTGAGAGAGCAACAGTGGGGGCAGCCATGAGTCCTCAGGAGCTTCTTACCTCTGTAAATAACCTCATTATTCTCCTCAACACATGAACCTCAGGCAAGCTAGAGGCCCCAAAGCCAGCAACAACTGGAAACACAACAATAAGTGGAGGCTTTCATCCTTGTACCCTCTGTACTGCCTCTTGCGATGGCTACAGATGTTTGTCATCAGCCAAACTGGATCCAATTTCCTGCCGTGCTTTTACTTTTACTGACTTAAAAAACGGGTTTCAGCTTATGTTTAATTCAAACCACTTGTAGTAATGTGGAACAAATTAAATTAAAATAACAAGGGAAGTTTTCTGAGACACTGGTAGATGTGGAGGCTTGTGCTTTGAAGGCCTCCACGCAGTTTGTTTCCAGCTGTCATTTGTGCCGATGTTTCAGGACAGCGCACGAACAGCGACAAGAGCTCTGGAATGAAAAGGGGGTGAGTGTGTGTGCGTGGGGGTTTATTAGAGGGGGCTGGGGGTTCGGCTGTGGCTGTGGCGAAGGCAGACCGACCCAGGGGAGGGGGGGGGGGGAGCCTTCTTCCTGTCCCGTAGAAGAGGTACCTGTCTGCGTCGAGACCCTTCTTCCCCGTCATCCTCCTCCTCCATGCTGTCGGACCGCAGACCGACGCCACGGAGCCAAGGGGTGCTGTCAAAGGGCAGGGGGGGGATGGAAGGGGGGATGGTGGGGGGAGACTCCAGGGGGAGATAGGATTTGGGGAGTGGGGGCCGCGGTGGGCCAATGTCCTAAGGCAGAGAAAGAGAGATACAGAAAAAAATAGAGAAAGCGAAAGAGAGACAGAGCACAGAGTGCATTAGGAATAGCAGCCAAGCCAGAGAGGTTTCAGGAGCGGAAATTTAACCTTTAGCTGGATCGCATCCCCCTCTTGTCTGTGCAGAGCCCAAACTTTATTCTGCACTTGAATTACATGGAAATAGTTGCCTGTGAGTTGTCCTTCTACACAGTACTTTTTCCACTAATTGATTAGCTCATTATTTAAAGGGACTGCATGACTCCATGCTTGCCCAGACACTTTTGAGACAGAACAGGAGCTTAAAATAAATTACCTTTGAACAAGATACTGTAATGTTAACTTTCTCAAGGCACCTTTCATGTGTGCTGAAGTATATTAAGTGAAAATGTGCTTTGCTGTTGGATTAAATTTTTAAAAGTTATTCATATTATAAAGTAGATAAAGAATTCACCTTACTTTATTCATACATAAAACCTAACTCACACTGAGTGACTGAGTTGTTGAGAGTAGTTGACTGAGTTGAGAATAGTTCATTTAAAAGTTAATGTCATCCCTGTTTCAGTGCCACATTAAAATTCCATTCTGTCGTAAAAGCTGTCCTGGGTGAACAGGGAGTCCGATGAGGTCTGGGACTGCTCAGCATGGTCGGTAAATGGTGTAAAAACTGGGGCACTGGGAAAAAAGTGCATGAACAAGCGAGGGAGTAATTGAGGGCACCGAGCGACCACTAGCAAAGCACAGCAGGGTCAGGACAGCAGCAGAAGAAAGCCAATAATTTGTAAAATGCCATTTTAAAGGCCTTTGCCAAGCCTTGGAGCTGGTGCCGAATAGATTGGGGTCCTTCCAACGGCGGTTTAGTGAGACTCCTGTGCCAGTAAACTCAACAACACACTACCAACAAAAAGAGCACGAAGACTGGTATATCCATCTGTTTTCAAAGCTGCACAAAGCACGAGAAGGCTCTCTGACACAGAAACAGTGGTCCATCCTTCCAAAGCTTTGAAATCTTTGGCTTTGAGAGTGGTGTTTTTGTCCTCTTCCAGTGTCTGAAAGTAAAACCTTAAGATATCTATAAAAAGTATAGGTACACAAGATGAACATGAGATTTGAATAGTCACAGACAGCAGACCCATCAAACAAGACGACTGGAGTCGACGACAGCCCTGTGTGGAAAAGGTCAAGCAAGGTAAGGTGTGTGTATCGTGTTTAAAACATCACAGCTGAAGTAGGGCTGCAAAACAGAAGACCTTTCAATCCTTCCTGTCAGATCAAAGCTGCTCTTACCAGATGTTGCACACTCGATTCCAGAAAGTGGCTGGGCTCTTTGCTAACCGCGAAAGTAGTGTCTCCAGTTGTATTCTTTGAAACACACTTCCGCCTAGCCCCCTGATACTGTGTTGGGGTATTAGGGTGCTAGGATCAGGATATGGTCGGGAGGATATGGGGGTAGCTGGTGCTCACCTCAGTACCCATTTGCTTGGTGGGGGAGCCCTGGGACCCCGAGACAGGGGAGAAGGGGCTGAGCGGGCTGGTGAGGCTGACTGAGCTGAGCGGACTGGCTGGGCTGTTCGTGCTGAAAGAGCCGGAGGCCGCACTGGTCGCTGGTGGAGAGAAGGAGCAAGAGGTCATTACAGCACTGCCTGCTCCCTAAAACACTCTCCAGATCACGAGGGATGAACTGGGCACAGCAGCATGTCCTGTTCACACATGAATAATGACAACATGAGGTATGTAAAGTATAAGCTGTGAAAGGTGTAAATATATACAGATATACACTTGCACAATGTAAGCTTTGCAAAATATTATAATTCACCCCAGAAAAGGGCCTCTGCTTATCTTATTACTTATTATAAATAATAACATAAACCTGCAGAATAGCCCCAGTGCAACTTTTCCTCATTTTATTTTTACTTTAACTAAAAAACTGTAAATGTTCCCAATATCACACTTTGTTTTCTCTTCGAATAAAATCTGTACAACTATCTTATGGAATAAAAAAAAAAATAACAAGCCAACTGTGGCTCAGCAGAATGCAGAGCTTAAATTATAGCTTTAAAAAACAAACTAGAAAATCAGTAGAAGAATGGCTGTGATTTCCACTGGTGTTTGGAGCTGCCTCAACATTTGTTTGCAGTTAAGTCTGGATCTCGCATGTCTGCATCAATATCTTTTCCTGCAGCTCATTCTGAATGTCCCAGCTTTTGCCTCTGTTAGTCTTTCTGCCCTTCTTATGATCCTCATGTCTGGCGATTACTCATGACTTCCAAAGTTCCCTGCACCTTTGATAAAATTCACTCTTTTTTGCACCTCTCCAAATTCCTAATGGTCCTCTCTCGCTTCCTGCCTGCCCCACGTCTCCTGCTTCCTTCTTGCCTGTGAAGGTGTCTCTTCTGCTTACCTCTGTACTTGGCGGTGTCTGTCCCCCTAGATGGGTTGTTCTTGTGCAGCCCCTCCAGCACATCCTGGATCCTCCAGAACTCCTTCTGCAAGTACCTGTGCACGTGCTCATTCTGCCAAGACAATAAAGCCGCAATCACAGGTCACCAGCACGCCAACATTAACAAGCCAGCAAATTTCTGCTGTCTGTGGATGCAGGCTCTGGAGTTATTTTGAAAACTTGGAATAACTTTGAACTTTTGCCTTTGATAACTTAGAACTGTGTTCAGCCTCTCTAGGTGAAAACCAAGGCCAAATGGGCACGGAAAATGACATCCGATACTCATGCCTTTTCAAAAGCAGTCAGTCAGCTCTGAAATTGTTAGTGCCGCGCAGAGTCCATTGAGAACAGCTGCTGTTTTATCCACAGTGGCCTGTCCATGCATTATTGAACACTGCAAACTGAGCCATAAAAACATGACAATACATAAAAATAATATTGTGCCGGTAAATCAGTAATGAGGGATGAATAATTTAAATGTTGTTGGTTAATTATTGATTTTGAAATCCTCTTGTTAAGTGCCAGTAATTTCTCCAGATATTAGCTTTAATAAAATTAAATTCCTTATGTTTAGTCCTACTTACATCACACAGGTCATTATGGAGATATTCCTTTGGGATTTAAAAGCCCCTGGTCTATTTCTTACTTTGTTTTTAGTTCTTTTTGTGTGCTACATTATTATAATTTTTTAGATCTTTAAAACACTGAGATGTTTAATCAATAAATCAATCAAATAAATGCATATTTAACATTTTCAAAACTTATGACATTAAAGCAGATAGAGCTCATTATATATAATTTATTCCACAGAGCTAAACTCCAGGTTTCAATTATTTGAAAGGATAAATACTGATTTTCAAAATTCGCTAATGACTATGATAAATGAATATAGCTATAATCACTGCAAGCCTGTGCCTCAAACTCTGGAACATCTGTGCCTGAGGTTCACTTGACATGAGTACATGACAGGTCCTGACCACTGAAGGGTGTCCATTCACCTGTCCGCCAGTGTTAAGTTGCTCCCAGAGATCACTGTGGATGGCGTTGACCTCATCCTCAAGGGCCTCAAACTCCATCCGTGTGGTGGACAGAACCTGAAGACCCAACACATGAGCAGGTCAAGCAGAGGTCTGGCATCACTCTACACTAACTGCTCCACAAAACCCCCACACCCTGGTCTGCGGTCTGCAGAGAGAACTGTACTCATGTCCGCCTCTCTCTCCATCACATCCTTCACCCCTGCACCACTAGAAAGACTTGGTTAAAAGAACCTTTTCCTGGGTTGTGTTTCACCATTTCTAACCCCCCCTTATCTAGTTAAGATTTTACTGTGTACAAAAAAAATAGCCTACTACTGTTCCCAGTTCTTAATGTCTCCCACCTCCTGGTCTGGCCTTACACTGCATCACTACTCTCAAATCTCTCCCTTTCTCCTCAGGTCTCCTGTAGAGATCAGACCTGAGAGCCCCAGGCCAGCACACACTATTGATTGAGATTTAAAGGACTGGAAAAGTTTTTGTTTTGACCCGTCTCACAGAGAATGAGGCCAACGAATTCAGAGATCACCTAAAACCAAAAACCTGAGCACGATGACTTTAGGGCAGGATGAGCCGCTGAAAAAATGGTATCTGTTCCCTACCTTTCTGTAGTGATTACTTAAGGGGTGACCTATAAATACAGCTGGCCTGTGGCTCTCCAGGACCACGGGTTTTTTCCCCAGCTGGCCTGTACATTCCCAGATAACATGACCCTGGCCCCCTGCTGCCCTGCTCCGTACACTGGTGGCCTGCGACAGCTCCCCGCGGATGTTGATCAGCTGGTTCTGCAGGGACTCCTTCTTCAGCCGCAGGTTTTCGGCGATGGAGGGCTGGCTTCTGTAGAGGTCCAGCTCCTGGTGTGTAGCCACCAGCACACCTTCCAGACCGTCCTGTGCGAACAACAGCACATTGGGTACACACAAAGCAATGAGATGCACCCTCCTCCTGGGTAGTGTTCCACCAGCCTGCTGGGCTGTAGCTTTATCCTTGCCCCACCCCCATTACCTTTTCAATACGCAGGCGCTGCACAGCCGCCTCCTGGTCTTTCAGGACCCGGTTCTGCTCGCAGAGTCGGCCCAGGAGCTTCTGTGGCAGAGAAAGACAGAGAGAGGAGCCTGAGTAACAGAGAACAGAGTTTTAAAACATGCACACCGATTGATTTATTTTATGGGCTAGATGACCCTTGTCTTACGTTCCTGTCTTTCCATGTGGTAAAAAACAAACAGCTGCTAAAAAAAAGACATCCTCCATTCATTGAATAATTACTTAGAGCTACATTAGTTACAAGAAACACAGATCAGTTGTCTTGCTAAGCCAGGCCAACAGGCAAGACTCTGCTATATATTTTTCTCAATATACTTGGGCTTTATAGCTTAAATTAAAATCTGCCAGAGAGAGCCTTACATCAACTTCCACTTCGCTGGTCTTGTAAGAAGGGTGTAGGTCCCTGTAGATGTCATGGAATGGAGATGCTTGCTGGAATGTGACATAAAGAAAAATTCTGTTACTTTTTCATTTGGGGGTTCACAGGAATCTGCCCCCCATAATCATTTGAAATATTTCAGGAGGCTAAAATGTTAGTTTGTTGGAGCTGACAGAAGACATGTTGTAAACTTGGTTGCAATCTGCTGGATGCTCGAAATGTCCTCAGGTACCGTATGTGGTGCCAATATGGATGGCAACGGGTTGTCCCAGTTTCATTGTTAGCCCATTGCACTCTTCCACTGTGCACAGCTTTCACAATTGTTCATACAGATACTGAGACAGACTTTACTGGTCAATCACAAAGACTGCACAAGTGTTTCAGGCAACCATTCAATATGACACTCAAACACAAGTGTACTGACTGTTATTTTTCCTTCAAAATACCCTGCACTGTACTGTATATAAAACATTTTTTTTTTACTCTTGTCAATTTATTCCAAAGTATGACTCCCTTGCATGTGCCTTTTCATTTCAAAGCTAACGTTATGCTGGTACCATTTAAGACAAAATCCAGGAAATAAAACAATGTTCCTTCAATCCACTTTAACACTACCTGCGATTGACTGCTACTGTTGTAAGTCAATATTCTCAGTTATTTGAAGCTTCCCTGCTCTACACACAATGCACTTCCTACCAGCCCTCTCGGTTAGTGCACATTTTCAGGAGGAGGGCGGACGGGGTGGAGAAATGGCACAGGCAGTGTGGGAGGGTGAAAACACAGTGAGCAACAAAAACAATAACAATGGACAACCATGACAGGGTTAACATTGGGCAATGGGCTCATTTGACAAAGCAAGTAGTCACCCAAAGAAAACAAACACCTACAGTACTGCTTCACAATGCAAAGGGGTCTGGAGATGTGATGCTAACATCCATACAACAACACTCCACATAGCCAGGGAGTTGACAGAGAGAGAGAGAGACAGGCAGGACATCTGGGAGAATTAAGGTTATGAAACCTCATTCTGTCAGATGCTATTAGAGTGCAAGAAAACAATGTATTGACCTGAATCAGATCTATAAACCTATAAAGAATCTTATCAAAAGCACCTTTTTTTATTTATACTCTGGATTTAGAGTCACGAGATCCCAGTCCTGGTCCTTGACACCCACACAGTTGCTGGTTATGCTTCCACCTGAGTGCTTAATTAAATTCTCGAAATAATTAAGAGACCTATTGATAGGTTTAATTCGAACTCAAATTTTTTTCATTTTCTAAACATGGAGGATGTTGCTTTTGAACTGTTGTGTCTCTGAATTTGTTGGATCATCTAAGTATTTAAGTACAGAGCTCAGATGCAATGAAAACTAGCAGTTGTGTGGGGTCCTAGAGGGGCAGGGTCCTCAGTTTAATTAGATCCTTGTAGGTTGCTGCTTCTTTTTAACTCAGCTCTTCACAACTTAAATTGGCTCATTATTGGCGGAAAAGGACCGATTTGATAACTAAAAGAGACCTAGAAAACTTGCAAACACACCCGTCTAAATCAGCCCTAAATCAGGTATGAGTTGTTTTAAGTGGATCTTTTGTTGTATTTTAGGAATTCATTACAAGTGATTATACTGTACATAGTCTATAAACATCCTAATCTCCAAGCATATTTTTGCTGATTTTGTTTCTGTTAAGTCATTAAAATGCTGTCAATTACCATACTTGCATTTCTGCACTGCAAAAGTACCTGTTTATAGTGAAGATATTACAACACTTCAGCTAATTTATACATTGGGCTACATGTTTTCAAGATGCTAAAGGGGATCATTGTGTCATACAACAGGGGAATGACAAACTGCATTAATTGGACATGAAATAGCTTGTTATTGATGTTTTAATTCTGTTGCTACCTACAGAAGGATTGCAGTTCCTTCCTTTACAAAATTTCACTACATGGTCACAAATTCCCTCTGTAGTATCTCGCAGGCCTGCCTGTGTCTCTGTGTCACTCTCTCTCTCTCCTCTCTTACTTGTGAGTAGAGCTTTGCTCTGGGTGAGGAGTTCTCCACCATTCTGTGCACCATACTGATCAGGTGATCGCTCTCTGTGACCTGGAGTAAAACACACCGTCACTCTCTGCGCCCCTGGCCAGGGTCGGGCCAGCCCAGAGTACACCTGCCAGCGAGGCCCCCCTCAGTGAGGCCTGGCCAGCACTGTATGAGCCTCTGCAGGAATTAACCTGCTCATTTAATGGAGTGCACCCTCCCTTGCAAGCTAACGTGATGCATTATTTCTAGTTTGTCTCACAGTGGCTTCAATATGGTGAGTCAGTTTATTGCACTAAATCCATACCAGGAGAACTGTGTCCAAAGTGGTACATTACCACTGCTCTATATTTTGATAAAGGCTAGTAAAGCAGATGTTCCACATGGAACATCTTCAAGATGGCTGCTCTCCAGGCTTTACATACCACACAGTGCATGTAAACACAGCGGTGATGACAGAGGGGAGGGAGCTGTCTACATGAGCTTCTGTCAGTCTCTGAACTTTGCACAGCCTGTCACTATGCACAAAAAATCCTGGGTGTATGGAACACAATCCTTCAAGGAAAGGATAGACAAGCTGCTATCATCCAAATGAGTAAAATGGACCTCTCTTCCCATGCTGGCCATCTCCCTGACCACTTAGTTCCTTGTCCATTTCATTGAGTTTCACAGAGTCCCATCCTAACCATTCAACTGTAATCCATGGCAGTGTGGCTGGAACATTCCTTATACACTTCTCCACCTCTCATGTACTTGTACCTCAAGATACCATTATTTGATTTCTTCTTCGTGCAGGCTCTTACAGTATAGCAGCACATTTAAGGTATGTAACCATGAGACTAGTGCACAGGCTTTGGTTTAAACTACCATGTGGGCCCTTAAAATCAAATTTATACTCAACACTTGAATGCGAAATACACCACTATTTTCAGCTACTATCTCTCTCCACTTTTTCAGAAAATAATAAAACTGAAAAGAAACCCTGAAGAGACTGGACACCCATCGGAGTTCTCTCAGGCATGACAGTTATTAAATCCAAGTTTGAAAGGGATAGGAAGATATAGCCATAGTGTGCCACCAAGCCAATAAACCCAATAAACGCTCAGGAGCGCACTCACCTGCTGGTCCAGGTATTCCAGATTTCTCTGCAACTGTAGGTCTAAAATGTCATCCTGTGCCAAGCAACAGCAGCAGCAACAGTGGCAGAAAGAAAGAAACACACAGAGAACGGGGAGAAGGAGAGTTGCAAGCTGACCCAACACCAGCCAAGCAGCAAAGGCATGTCTACACGCACACCAACACAAGACAGAAAGAAAATTCGACTTTTCTCCCTTCTACAAGTCCTTCAGTGGATCTCCAGCCACAGCAACAAGATGCTACAATAACGTGCTACAGCAATATGCCTTGTGAATGTAGTGTGCAATAATGCCTATCAGTCAAGGAACACATTTCAGGGTTATGGTATTTTTTAAGAGCAAACAAGTCGCACTGAACTGTGGGATGTGTATTATTAACAACGACTGCTTTGCAACGCAAGAAGGATGTTAATTTATACTGTCTGCAGTGCGGTGTATTCCACTTTCTGTAAGTAAAGTCAACGTTTATAGCCACAGACAAACATTTCAACCTTATCATCATGGTTTATTTTGCTTTGTCCAGTGAAGCAGACCCTCTACCCTATCTATTAATATTTCTACCAAGCTGGTTAAAAAACGAACATTTCTCTCAGAATGACTTATGGAGGCACCTACCATTTTGTCATGCAAAGTAGGGGAGCCAGGGTAGTTGTAATGGTACATTCCTTGGGTCAGGGACCTCCTGTCTCTGGGATACTCGTACTGGAGGAGAAAGCAAATGAGGCTGGCTGTAAAAGAAGCTGACGACACTTCTTTGAAAGTGTAATTACTACAAAACGAGCAACAAGGAAGGGCCGATTCAAAATCATAACACAAAGGAGGTCTGAGGGAGGAGACTCAGAAAAGGCAAGTGAGCGAGGAGCTGAAGTATGAGTGAAGGGTTGTGCTGATTGAAAGACTATAGAAAAAGGGTTGGGAAATAATCGAGCAGCCTGAAACAGGCCCTCTGTTTAATTAAAATGTGATATAAGGGCCCCACTCTGCTTCAGACAGTAAGAACTCTCATTTAGGGAGCCATGTCCAGCCCTGTCACCTGGATGTCACCATTCCAACCACGAGTTATGCTCTTTAGCTGCACATGACCGGGGTTCATAAAACGTTAGGTGTTATGACTGACTGATCGCCAGTGGGACAGGCATATGGAGGAGGCTTCTCACCCACAGGACGGCTGTGAGTTTCCAGTGAGAGAAAGGAGGGCCTCACCACTCCTCTAGTGAACACTAACTCTCTTATCAGGCTCTGCAGAGCTTGTAGTGCTAAGTGTGTGCTGACCTGTGCACATTCAGAGGAGGAAAGTGTGGGCTGCTGGGGCTATGGAGGAATCTGCAGTGTGTTACTGACGACTAGGTAAAGTCAATGAGAGCTAACAGTCTGAGGAGAGACCTCCATGTAATAATGTCATTTCGATTTACCACGGTCAGCATAAACTTTTTTATAAATATATGATGTGGCTAATGCCCTCATATCTATATGTCCGTTTTCTGGGCTATCCTTTATGCCCTGTTTTTTTTTAGGAAATGTCTGGAGGAGATCCTTGGATCAATTAACTACTAACTAACGAATGGGCCGGATGGTCCGAACGGCCTCCTATCCTTCCCTTTGTTCTTGATGTGATTTTTTCTGGCCCTGTCAGAAGCTGCTCTGTCCTAACGCCCGTCAGTACGAGCCTGTGTCTGCCTTGGAGACTCGCCACTGAACTCGGCTGCCAAGCGCTGTCCCCCAGAAGTACCTTGGGGGAGCTGATCGATCTCCGGAGACCGTAGGCAGAGGGGTCGGCGTAGATCATGTCTTCTCGGTGCCGCCCGGGCGCCCCCCTGTCGAAGCGCGTGCTGGGGGAGCGCACGGGGGAGAAGGCTCTGCTCCCGGCGGGGTAGGGGCCCTGCGAGGAGGGGGGGGAACGGGGGACGGAGCGGGACCGGGGCTGCATGGACAGGCGGCGCATGGAGTTCTGGGCCGACTCCACCTGGGCGTAGTACAGGGGCTGCTGGGTGGGGGGGGCGGCTGCCGCAGGGACCCACTGGAAGCCGCCACTGCCCGCCGCCTCCCGGGGGCGCTCCCTGGCGTGGAGCGGCCCGTCCCGCAGGGACCGCCTCTTCTCCTCCGTGGCCCAGCGAGGCGGGACCCGCTCAAAGCCCGCCGTGACGGAGCAGATGCTGTCCGGACGCACCCCTGGGGGGTACAGCCCGTACTCCTCTATGTACTGAGGCCCATACATCCCATAATAGTCTGCAGGCATCCCCCGGCTGGTCTGGTAGTATCGGCCAGGGCTGCGGAGTGGGAGAGCAGGGAAGTCATTTGCCGTTTATTTCTAAAATGTGATAAATCTGTTTAAGGAAGGCTGAAGGCAGCAGGCAACTGAAGGAAAGAACTGAGTTTGCAGTTTTCCACCAGTCTTAGCATGGTCAGTTACCGGTGCCGCTTCTCCACAGTAACTCTTCAAACTTTACAATGCTTTAACCTCAATTCTGCTGTGCAACGTACAAACTCACTTACAATTTGTATACTTATTGAACATTTCGCTTAAAACCAAAAATATTCAGTATTTTGGCTAACCACAAAATTAATCTCACAGAGGAGATGGACACCGTCCACTAAGATCTTTACTGCGGCAATCACCTGCAACCTTTCTTCTGCAGGAATAAGTTTGAGTGGGTGACATACAGGAAAGTTAGTGGGAACTGTGTTAAACATGAAGACGCCCCCCACCCCCCCTTACCTGCGTAGCTCCTCTTGAGCCGACAGGCCGCGGCGCAGGTTGACCCACTGCTGGAGCTGGCTCATGGAGCTCTTCCTCTGCGCCAGCCTCTCGGGCTGCGTCCGTGGCACAAACCCTCGGCGCACCACGTTGTTTTCCGGCGGCTCCCTGGGCTCCTGGGGGTGGAAGGCTGAAGAATCCGGCTTGCGGTAATTCCCCCACCCGTTGGGCTGGGCGGCCCTCTTCTCTCCCCTGCCTCTGCCGTCCAGGTCTGGGGTCAGGGGCGTGGTGGGAGTCACTGTTTCCGCGGCGACGACCCCATTGACCTCTCTCTTGCTGGGGTCCCGGGACTCCGCTCCCCGGCCATCCCCCTCCCCGCGCTGGTATGGCTCCACCCCTTTCGTCACCATGGCGTTATTCTCACCTGCCGGAGGGATGTTCTCCGAGTTGTTCCTGAAGGAGACGTGGGAAAAGTTAGAGGCACAAAAGCCTCATTTAATACTGCATCCAGTCCACCATCAAGGAACCGTGAGGCACAAAAGTGAAAAACGATGACCAACAGAGTGTGCATTCATGCAGTTGTGAGTGTATCATATTGGGATGGTGTCTATGCCAATAAATCCAGTCCGGGGTGTTTCAGTTGTGCTCAGATCCCACACAGCAGAGCCTTCTCTTTGGGGTGTTTGACTTGGGGCTCGAGGCCTTGGGGGTGAATCTGCCTGTCTGGCCCCAGGCGCTGCACGTGTACCTCTCTGTGGGTGTGATGTGGACGCAAGCTGCTTCGTTCATTGCTCGCACCCAGGCCTCCTGGTCCTCCCGGCTGTCGGCACTAAAGTAGTAGGTCCGGATGCCTGCGTGCTCCACCTGCAAGCAGAAGGAGGAGCTCCTGTTACTGCAGCGGCCCTCCTCTTCCTCCTCACAGCATGCCTGCGGGGGGAGAAAGACACGAAACACCAAGGTCAGACGTCACTGCCTCGCAGTGCTGCCCTGAGCAGGTGGAGATAAGCGCATGCTGCAAGCACACTGAAAAACAACACATCTGCAAACTTTTTATTCATAAAAAAAGTCCAGAATGAATTTAAGAAACGCTAGCAGTAGTAATGGTAGCAGAAGCAGTTTTATTACTAGCCAAGGTACATTTGCGTTTTTTTAATAAGACAATGGATATTGCTAATAGTGAAAGGTAATCTACGACGTTCAGTGAAGGGCTAGGAATGTACAATGAGGTAGCAGTTGTGGTAGCGACGGTAATTAGAATATAATTAGTTTTCCAACAAAAAAATCTAATCTCTGACTTAGAAGCAGTGATCTCCTCAATTTCAGCAGTGAAATGTTTGTTTGATTTTTGACAGATTAATTAAGATCCTGCTTTCAGAGTTTACTTTTTTATGCCTTATCAGTACACAAGCAGATTATGACCAGTCTCTAACAACACATGACTAAGGAAGAGAGGAATTAAGCTCTCTTTGATTTGATTTTGATGGACGTCGGCATTGTGCCAAGATGCAATTTTGGCGCTCAGACTTGGCTCAGACAAAATAAACTGGTAATTCAGGCCAAGAGCTGAAGAATGGATCTGATTAAAAAAGACAGCATCACCACTGAATGGCTGAAGCCACCTGCTGCTGTGCATCTTCAGAGCTGAGGACCTGGCTGGGAGCCTTTAGTTCAGGCCCCAGCTTCAGACATTATTCAAAGACATGTCAGACCAGATCTACCAAGCTTTTACACAGTAAGACGTAGTACTCCACCACCTGTTTTCATTAAACATATTTTCTTTAGTTTTTTTTAAAGTATGTTCTTTACATTAAGTAAAGAACAAAAACCATTCACATGTAGAAAAGTCTGAAATTATGTTTGCCAAACTAACAGCATCCTCCATCATGTTCAGAATTGTAAGTCATGTTCTACATATAAAATAACTATTAAACATACTCTATCTTTGGGTACAAATATAATAAAATAAGTAAAAACATAGTAAATCCAGTCTTTCCTGTACAAGGCATGTCACTGCAATAGAAGGAGAAAGGGATATACTACCTACAGTAAAGGAGCGCATCTGGGAACTCAAACAGGCACAATGAAGGACAGCTGCACTCGGGGGTCCTCAGAAACAGGTGTGAACAGAAAAGAAGAAAGGCTGAATGAAGGTCAAAGTGTCACAGGTCACATGATAGGAGAGATCTGACACTCAGATGCTTTGGCATGGAAATCACTGGACGGATTGTTGGTAAACACAGCTTCTTCCAATTACGGAACAACTGAAACAGCAGATCCATTTCAAGAGACAAGTTCCCCTTCAAAAGTTCTGCAGCACTACCACAAGTACTCAAATCAAATGAAGGAGGGATTATTGTGGGAATTTCTGTTTCACAATGATGTGACACTCTTATTGGGTTTTTGAGATGCATCACAATGCACATGTCACTTTGCTGGTGTATCACAGTACATTTAAACAAGCATCATGTTTTAGCTTCAGTTTAAGACCTGAACCAGGCCTCTTCCTGGTTGTCTAAATGTTCAAGGGGAGAAAATTCCAGTTGGAAATTGGCTCTGGGGGCCAGGAACAATAAGAGGTTTTAAATATGATTGTTATTGGCATTTCTAAAGTTGTCGATATATGTGGTGATCACAATTTTGGACACCAAACTGCAGACAGTTTTACATTCCTGAAGGAGTTAAGTTTTAAAATGCAGTTAAAAAGTGAGGTTTGTAAGATAACAGTTCTTTGAACTGCTTTTAAAAATAAAGTTGCTTTCCACCGGGTAATTTTTAAAATATTCACCGTTCCCAAGTTCAACACATGAGGGAGCCACTGAACCACAGAATTCAGATAAGCTCTCCAATGACTCGGACTTAAAAGGCACTCAAGACCTCAACTATTTTAAACATCAATAATCTTAATTGTTCAAAAATGTCCAGAATCTTAAAAATAGTTTGAGACAGCTGAAGCAAGTTTAAGTGCCATCTAGTAACAGCACGCCTTGAGCTTAAAGAACAGATCAATCCTTCTTTGCCAGACTTCTTTACTTTACAGAAAGGAAATTCTAAAACTCAATAGGCTCCTTAATACTTAGTTTGTACAAATGTAAAAAAAAGTTTGAGTACTGTATATCAAATGTATTTGTAGCTAAATGAAACACAAATATTTGATTGTAATCTGAAAAAAGAAAGCAGATATGAAAAGTTTTGCCATGCCTCACTGGGTTTTGTCATATATTGTCAGTTATGAATGTTGTTTACAAAACCCCCCCAAAAAAGCACTACTTCTACAAGTAGAAAAAAATAAAACATGAGTAATATTGAAATTGCAAGGGCTGGGGAGCTATTTGCATCCAATAAGATGAGGAGAGAACACTATAGTACATCATAGACTAGCTGTTTCTTCAAAACTGTTAGCTGCTGATGAACAGTGCAAACTAATTCTTCTCGATACAAGTGAAAAAAGTTACTCTGCTACCCACTTTTTCACATGCAGACAACGTACAGTTGTGAAACCTCTATTACATATAGATAAATGGGACTAATTGAGCGTTTTACAGTTAACAAAAAAGGAAGCCTGTGGCATGTCAGACTAAAAATAACACTAGGTAAGATAGCCAGAAAATGACAGTTCTTAAAAATATATGAAAAGCTATTAACTCTCATATATCCATGAATAGAGTAGGTTCTGTATATGTACTATATATAATAGCATGGTTATTGATAATAAGTAAATTATCATTAGTTAAGATCAGAGTTCTTCATGCTCTTTTAATTAGAAGCAGTATTACCACCTCTGAAGTTCTTATCTCATCAGATCTCAGAAGCTCAGAAAGGCAGGTTCTGGTCAGAACTGGGATGGGAGACCACCAAGAAAAGATAGGTTGATACTACTGTATAAGTGATGTGTATGATGCTGGTGGAGCAGTAGATGGCAATTTTTCCAGACATTGCTGTCGGAGATGTGATGCTATCCTTTGAGTAGTCAATCTGAGGTCCTGACTAGCTGGTCATTAAAAATACCAAGGTATCATCTGTCAAAGTAGTAACCCCGGTACCCTGGCTAAATTCCCCTCTGGGCCTTGTATAATCTCGCCTCCTAAAAGCACCCACAACTGGTAAATTGATGTCTCAGTCCTGCTTTAAGAACTGCTTTAAATAATATGAAGTATTTCTAAATGCAGTTTTCAACTAATTTTCTTATCTGCTCTTCTTTACCAGACACAGGCATAATCTAGATTTTCCAGATTCTGCTTTGTGAGTACAACAGTTCTTATTAGTGAAAGAAGCTGCTGCGATATGAATCTTAATCTCTGCGGGGTAACCCCATTTTCTTTAGATAATACAAACCAGAGTCTTATACATCTGAAATACAACCTCGTTTTCCTCACTTCTCTTAGTTTATTTTAGTCAAAAGTTGATGACTTTATTCCGAGCCACTGGAAATTGGCAGGTGCTCTGCCGGCTGTGAAAGTTCACCGGGGTACATTTGCATGGCATTTTTGCTGCCGTTCCCACAGTTCTCTCACGCTGACATCACGTGTTTCCCACGAGCTGCCTCATGCTTCGTCTTACCTCACCCCTTTGCCCCTATCGCAGTGCCGTGGACTAAACCTGCACTCTGCTTTTACCGTGACATACCGCAGTGAAGACATGCGAGGATGGGAGGGATTCAGTTTTGCAGATTAATGACAGAAAACAAGTTCTGCCAGAGCACTGCCGCGCAGCGAAGGCAGCTACACTCTTTCCCTGTAGCGTGTTGACAGTTTACTTTTAACAATGTTTTGGAGTGTAGCTTTTTCCCTCAGGGGAGCAGGAGCTGAAAACAGAAACTCCAGAGGCATTTATAAATGGCTAAAGGCTTGACAGCTCCCTGCTTTATTATTTGTTTGAATTAGAATCGACTTGAGCTACTGTTATTGTGTCCCAAGGCTTGTGATGAAAAGATCCTGTTTTTTCCCCCGACATTCCCTGTGTCCTTTGGGCACTGCTGTTCTTGCGCTTTAAAGATGTGTGTGTTGTTTTAAATGCCTCCTACTTGTGTGGAAAATCACTTCTTAAAATATTATTTTTATTTTTCCTCTTAGGTTTTTATGTTGGTTTTCTTGCATGTAAGCCCCATCGTCGACTGTCCCTTTCACTTTTGCAGCATTCATTCACAGGGATACCAGTCTCACAGATGAGGAGAGAAGAAAGTATTTGAGACAACAAAGCTAAGGAATTCTCTGATGGGATTTTCTATTTTGGCTGTCAGTAGCTTAATTACAGCCTACATGAAAAAAGCCATCATTGCTAGCCTATGAGGAGGGCAGAATATCACGATCAGGCTTCTCATGCACAACCTAGACATTCACACACTTCTGTTATTATGTCACTTGTACTGCCTGGTCCTAAATACTAACATCTCCTATTTCTATTCAATTAAAATCCACAGCCAGCTGCTGGGGGAAGAACTCTTCACTGTTGGTATTTCTATCAAACAATTTGCTTTATTATAAAAAATCACAAGGGTCAAGCCATCTAAATCACAGAGAGATCAAGGGGAGGGGACTTACTGGCTCAGAATTAACAGGGGAACTTTAATACAAAGTAATTAATTGTAATATAATATATATATATATGCAGATCTACTGTATATAAATTTTCCGTGCTCTCTTGTTCAACGTTGGAGAGGCGAGGCCTGCACTGTGTTTACCGATGGGACTGAAGTGCGGTTGTGTTTGGTACAATTCCTAAAACTTTCTGACAAGCTGGAACTGGGAGCTGCTCTTCGGCTGTGAGCGAGAGGTCGGGAGAGGCCAGGAGCTTCAAGGAGGAGGTGCTGCTGCAGTGCGGGAAGGCGGGATGGAGGTCTGTCTCCAGGATACACAGGGAGAGGAGAGCTCTATATTTAGGCTCCTGGATGCCTAGGAGTGACAGTGTGGCTGAGCAAGGGCTGTGGCCTCGCCCTGAAGTAAGACTAACTGCAGTTCCCAAAGCCTCTGCTGTAGCGGCCCTCTTCTCCTTCCCCCCGCGCTCACTGCTGTCCAGCCTCACAGCACCTCCACCCCGAGACCCCAGGCAAGGGAGATGGCCTCTTTCTCACCCGTGTCTTGTTAGGGAGTGTACTTAAACCCAGAAATTCCCTTAAGGCAAAATGGTTGTGTACTCGTCTCTCACACAAGTACACATCTCTCTATCTCACACACATATCTTTGTCAAAGTTCTTACAGAACTGTAAACTGACCTCACAGGCAACAGTCCTGCACCATGAATACGATGTAGCTTAAATGACGTTACCTCCAGGCAAGTATACGTTTGTTTGGCGTAACAAACACTGTCCGGTGTAAATGAATACAGCTTCTAAATTTTGTTTTCATAAAATATTTCAATGATCCCCAGAATAGTTTGTTCCATTTCAACCAAGTGGGTGTCTAATATCAGTATGAAGGAAATCTGAGCCACTTTTCTATTATTGAGCACATTAAAGGCATAGTATATCCATTTTTTGTTAAAAAGCAATGGCATCCTATATTTATTCCAGTCATCCTAGAGAAACACAGTTAACATTTAGTTTTCATGTCTTTAGCGTGCCTTTAGAACAAGCTATTATCCAAAAATACTAGGAGATTAACTTCAGCTTCTTCTGTGCAGTCTGACAAAAGGATCTCTCTTTCACTGCTGTTTCTGAAGGTCTACAGACAAAACCAAGAACTTGAACCAGGAACCTCTTGGTAGCTATTCCTTTATCTCAAGCACCGAGCCACCTGCTTCCCAGGATGGTAAGTTGAAGTGCTGAGAATGAGCATGTGATACATGCTTGAACAGACAAACATACTGCCTGGAACAATATCGTAACTACAGTTTCAAGCTTCTAAATGCCTTTTCTGCAGTCTCTCACCAGCCATCAAGAATAATCTATTTATGAATCGGCTCAGTGACAATACAGGCTTAATTTTTCAGTTCACAAATTCGGTTGTTAAAAAGAAAATTGTTCTTCACTGGCAGTCATGCAGCCCCTGGGAATGTCACATTTCACATAAACAGAATAGCATGTTTTTAGGTGTAATTTGACTTGCTCTGCCAGGAGGAAATTGATTCATAAACATCAAACTGAAAATATATTGAAAAATTGGAACATGGAAGTGCTTCAGGAAAAGCGGTGAATTTTTTGCTCTGCAAAATGATCAAAAGATCAGAAGCAAACTTATGTGACCAACTGTGGTCGGTAGATTCCCGCACCAGCGCGAGGTGTGGGAACGCAGCGTTGCGTCACAGCGGCGGAGAGAGACGAGTCTGGGTGTGGTCTGTTGACTGCTCTCTACAAATAGCTCCACCAAAACACCTAACGTCACCTCACAACTGTGTGAGATTAAAAGCATTGAAGCTGATGTTTGACCCACCATGTCTTGTCAACTGTTATGAACTCAAGGACATATAAATTGAGTCTTTTGGTGGTTTCCCAACAAAGAACGTCAAGATTTTATATCAGTGACAAGTCTGTTGATCTGAAATTGCCATGCTTTAGCACAGAACGGAAATTGCAGCGTGTTGTACCTCTGATTCATCTGTGAACTCTGTACACTGATTAATAGTGTGGGGTGTCTGCAAACAAAAACACAACTATTATACACCATGACTTCCATGATATGCTAAAGGAAAGTGATTTCAGAAAAATACTTGCACCTATATAGCGCTTTTCATTCGAAAAGATGCCAAAGCTCTTTGCATAACAGGAGGACACTCATATTGAAACACTGAATCTTCATACATCCATAAGCGAAGTGTAGATACCACCGGGGTAACTGCCCTTATGTGCCTGCAATCCCACTGTACAGGAGATCAGGTGGAGAAGTGAGAAAGAGCTTCACCAACTGAATCATGTGACCTACAAACTAGCTAGCGACTGCAGCAGTCTGCACCACAGGGACTCTCGGAGAGCTTCACTGCAGCACAACACCATTAGAACTGTGCTGTCCACCTCCTCTAGATGTGAGTTGCAGTTACCGATGGGTAAATGCAAATACCAACACCATTCAGCACTCTGTAAATGTGTCTGCCATTAGAAGCTGACAAGTAAGCAGTGAGACAGAGCTTGTAATTAAAGCTATCAAACTATCGTTAACTAAAATGGTCCAGTGGGGACAGACTGTGGAGAGGTTTATTAAAATGTGATATATTACTTTAATAGTTACTGTTGTATCGGCAATGAGAGGAAAAAAAGAACTGCTTCTATTCCTGTTAACATTCCTCGAGTGTGACTTTCCATCCATTCCACAAGTGTTTTTATTTAGCCATTTCAGAGCACGCTAGTCTTTCTGACACATAACAGGGAGGCAAGAAAGACAGAAATCCATTTCAAAACAAGGAAGGGGGTGCACATACTGTACAGAAGCAAAAAGGCTTGTTATGGACAGAAAGAAGGTCCTAAAATCCAGGAGACAACAGGTTAGACTGAAGGGCCAGTTCCTCACAAGGTGAGCGAGCTATCTGTGGGCTTCAAGTTACAGTAAACACAAGTGAGACGGACTAGGGGCACCAGCAATGGAAAGGAAAGTGACGTGGAGCAAGGAGTGCAGTGGACATTCTACACCACAGGGTGTGTTTGAGCCAAGATGGAAAGCGCCGGGCTGTGCTTGTGTTACAATAGTGTTCTCAAAAGGAGAAAAAAACCCAAACTCTTCTTCTAGAGACATTCATTGCAAGTTGTGATGTCTGAATTGTATGCACTCCAGAACTTAATATCTGCGAGACAGCATACACATTAACACTGAGCTTTCTGATCAATAATTCACTGGCTTGCTTCTCAGGGAGAGGACGGTAACTCAGAAGGCTTGGAAACATTACACAGCTCTGGCCTCCTGCTGCTCACATTAATTGCTTGGATGAATGCTGCACACTGTGTTCTTGGATAACCTGTGCACTGGATAACAAATAATTTGCAATGAAAGACTCTGCTTTGAATACAACTTAAAAATAAATTAAATATGTTTAGGTGCGGTGCTAAATGTTTGTGTTGAAAAATTAAACTTCCATTTGGTGTGTGCTCCTTTTTTTAGCATAACCTTATTTCTCCATGAACCTGTGGGATTGAAACAGAGATTATTTGGTGTTGTGTGTTGTCGGCGGATGTGAGGATGGAAGGGCTGACATATTTGCACAAGCTGGATTAGAGAATCAGAAAAGAGCTGAGAACTTCGGTCAATGAAGGACTTAAGCACAAAGCTCAAGTTCGTCATGAATGAGGATTTTCTTTAGAGACATATTCCTCCTTGCTCTCTCCTGCTCTAGTGAGAGCCGTGTCTCTCTCATGTTTACTGGTTCTGAACTGTCAGGTGTCAGGATTGCTGCAGGCCGTGCTACCCTACTTTTCAAAAACATCTTGCTGAGACTTGTAGCTGTATCTTGTGCTCCCCAGCCCCCCCAGGGACAATGAGGAAAGGGGTTACTCCAGGATCACAGGAGAACAGGACACCAGCAAAAGCGTGAATGTGCGACACATCAATGAAGGGCAACCTGCCTTCCCAAAACTTCCCCGTTCCCCAAAAAACCCCATCCCTCAAAACCAAGACAGTCATAATTGGAGAAAAGTGAAAAAGACGCAAGGGCAGGGAGGACAGTCCACCTGGAGAGTAAAATGATACATTGCCCCCCGCTTGCTCACACTCAGCTGACACAAAACCATGAACAGAGTGTGAAAAAATCACTATTGAATGAATGGGAATATTGGCCCTGCTGTTCTCTCAAGTCTCAATTGTCCCCCTTCCCCACCAACAGAGTAAAAGGAAACTAAAAAAAAAGCTCTCTGTAAAGAGATTAATACATTTTAAATGTTAATCTTAGTGAGAATCTGACTCTGCAGAGCAAAAATACATAATTATTAATTCAGGGTATACTGTATGAATCAATATCAGAAGTCTTGGGTTCCATTCTAAGATATCAGAAAGAAAAGACACAGTGTTGAATCAAGGAAAACAATTGAAAACCATTTTAACTACAGTTCCAAATTTAAAGTTGACTGAAAAAAAAGTTCTATGCAAAATGACATGTACATTGTATGCAAAATGACATGATATTCTCTCGAACAGAAAGCACTATTAGAACTTTGTAACAGGCTACTTGTCTTGAAATCCACGCCCTTGACATAATATTGTGCATTTCAAGTACAATGCACATTACTGTTCTCCCTTTACATGGACAGCCTTGTCTGCTTTGAAACAGCGCCAGCTTAACCTTTCTGTTCGGTTTATTTGAATACAGTCCTTGCTTTGTACACAGTTAAATTTCCATGCACATCGGAGCTGCAGTGCAGTCCACTCCCCTATTCCTCTCCACAGAGGTGCCTGATCCCACTCCCACTAGACCTCACATTTTGCACCACAACGCTCCTGTTCAGCACTGACCTTAAAAGCGTGTCTCCGGCTGATGTTATCCGAAGGCTGGACCCCGCAGATCCGAAAGCTGAGGAGAGGGATGCTCCCTAAGACTCCTTCTTCCTTCTCGTCTGGGTCGTAGAGCCAAAAAAACAACAATCGAAAACAAAAAGACTGATTAATCCTGCAGACAGATGAGTAGCAGCCTCTGCTCCTGATAGAATCCCCTTCTCTCAAAAGGCAAGGTCCACTTCCTTGTGATAAAAATATTTCAAAAACGGCAAAAACAGCCACAACTTCAGATTCATCAGCTGGTAAATCTCTTTGTTATTTCCCATTCCTGCAGTGAGAATGAGCACAAAAAAGCCCGTATCTACCTATAAAATCCATTGCTTGGTTAAAAAAAAGCCAAAAGCAAAGACTCTAGCTAAGTGAGTTATGAAACACTTCATGAAAATTTAAAAGACAGAATGGAAACAGAAAGATCCTGAATCCTGGTGGCACCTTAGTGCTGGCAGAGCTGCAGACTGACTGTGTGGTGCTGTTTCAGTATATCAGCTGCAGGGTCGCTGCATCCAGTCTTATTTTCTCGTGAAACAGGAGAGTAAAGACTCCCCAGCTGTGTGTCCGTCCCAGGCTGGGCGTCTGTAGAAACTGAGCCGGTGAGGCTGACTGCACTAGGTTTATCGCAGAGCCGGAGTCAAGAGATAGCGATCAGCCCCCATGACTCAGTGTTGTTGGAATCTAAGCCTGGCCCCTTGCCAACTGTGTACCTGTGCAACTAGAGGGATCAGTTCTGGCAATAAGAATCTGTTTACTGTCACAGGTGCACGCATGTACACACACACCTGCAAGAGCCGTTCGACATTATTATCCAAGAGGAGACTGCATGACTGTCACACTGCAAACATATACTGTATTCATTATCACTCCACCTCGCACACAATGCTCACAGTCCAACCTCACCTGTATGACACTGCGCAAAACACACCAATTAGGCTCTTGCCTTTGTTTGCTTGTTTCTATCGTACTCGTGAGTAATTGCTAGGAAAAACCTTCTTGCAAAACTCGTCCGCTGGATCAGAATGTCAGCCGCAGAGCACAGCGCCTGGTGTGGTCAGAGCTCTGTCCACACCTAAAGAAACTGTTCTCTTGGAGAAGTACTGGCAAAAAAACAACATGGCTCTCTCCGAACACAGCTAGATTAAAGGCTTCCCTTTTTTTAATTAAAAGCCGTCTCCTAGGAACGTACAGGATCAACACCTCTTGTTGTAGCTCCTGAATTTTTAACAGAAAGTATCTACACCAGATGTTTTGAAAAGTTTTTAAATATGTATGCGTGTGTATACGCTCTTGTGAATGTCTGTCATGGCAAATTTGCACAGCACACGTGCAGTCACTGTATTATCTCAAGCAATACCAATATTTTACCATATTGCAACACTGTCCTGGATTTCGAAGCTTTTGTTTTTATGTCTAATGCTCTCATAACTTTTAACGTTTTTAAGAGGGGACTTAAACGTTTAACAAATGCACTTCAAAACAATGCAATCTCATAAATGTGAAGGTTTATTCAATGAACTGAAGCAAAATAATTTCCAATCAAAATGTTAAAGATATGATGCCCCTCAGGTCTGTACTAGTAAACAATTCTGGTCGTCTACCATGAGCGTTCAGAAAGAAAGCAGCCCGTCTGCTAGACTGTAGAATTTGCACGTTGCGCACCTCTCTGCTTCCTGCAGCTGAGACTCTTGGCAAAGGGAAACGGGAAACAGAAACAAATTCTTGGCATTCTTCCTGCTGGTGCGGAGTCCCCATCCCCGGATCGCAGGGATCCCTTCGCACACGTGCATCATTGAAAAGACATTTCGTAGCATACAGTATGTGACAGGAAGCGCGCCAGTGCGCTACTGCAAAGAACCAAGCTGCCGCCGTCTCCGCCCCCAGGCAGGCGCGCAGCAGTCACTGTTGACCAGTTGGTACTGGTCACTGGTCAACTGGTGTCTCTGTATAAACCTCTGTGGTGCTGCAAATGAGACTGACTGCAAGCAACTTGAACAGCCAATAAATGGGTTTGCGCACATTTAAAAAAAAACACGTTTCTCTGTGCCACACCAGGTCAGAATCGGCCATTGTCAAGCAAACCTCGCTTTCCTGCTAAGAGACCCTAAGCAAGGGCCTATATTGGTTAAGCCACTGGAGCCTCGAGCCTCAACATTTAGGAACATAAGAAAAGATACAAAAGACAAGAGGCCATTCTACACATCTAGCTCATTTGGATGTTAGAAGCTAATTGATCTGAGGATCTCATCCAGCTGTTTCTCGAAAGATACCAGGGAATCAGCTTCAACAACACGGTTGGGTACTGTGTTTCATACTCCCACAACCCTTTGGGTAAAGAAGTGCCTCGGTCTTCAGTTTTAAATATACTTCCACTTAGTTTTCACTTGTGCCCTCTGGTTCATGTCTCAGTGATCTTTTTGAAGAAATCCGCTGGGTGGCCTTTGAGGATTCTGAATACCTGAATCAGATGCCCTCAAAATCTTCTCTGTTAAGGACTTAAAGGGTTCAGCTCTTTTATCCTGTTAGTGTAGGACATTACTTTATGCCCAATCATGTGTCAGGTCGTTCTTCTTTGAACTGATTCCAAAATAACAAGATCTGTCTTGAAACATGGTGACCAAAAATGTATTCTAAATGAGGCCTTACACATTGTGTAATTTATATGTAATATTTCTTAACCATGGTCATTAGAAGGAACATGCTTCATCGTTGGGCACGACATTAATCAGTTTTATAGCAAATTGTTATTTTTTAATGAGAATGTAGTGACAATCACTGTAAAGACCACCCCTGTCCCTGTTCTGGAATGACCACAGGCAGAACTGTTTGTTAAGCACTTGGTTTGAAAAACTGACCTTGTCCCACTTTCATTTTTTATAAAGGGGCAAAAATAACTCTCACGGAACAAAGCTGCCAAAATGTAGTTCAGGCAAATCGTGTGTATTGCTCATTCCAGCTATATCTAAACGAAGCAATCCATAAACTCTTCACTTGCTGTTGTAAAACAAAACAAAAAAGGTGGTGTGGTAGTTCCAACAGTCTTCCAACCATACACACATAACTCTACTTAAAATTAGCGTATCCCCATTACTTCAGTCCCAATTAACATCAAAAGGTAAAAAAACTCGGATTTGCAATTTAATTTCAGTAGCATTTCAAGGAAAGTGCTTTAGATTTTCATTGTAACTTATCTAATTCCAAAGTCACAGCACGCGTGATATGTCTTTTGCCTTTACTCCCTAACAATTACCATGCTCTTTTGTATCCAAATGTTAAACTATTTTACATAAAATATGGTGTTAAGGTACAAGAGATATTATGTTAATTTACTTTAACAGTTTGAGCTCAACTGGAGTTGGAGTTTTCATCAATTATCCCTCCTTTAAAGCCACTACAGGAAAAAAAAACATGCCTGTGCTTTTCATTTTCTGTGAGTGACTTTGTAAAAATTTAAACAGAATGTCTGTCTGTTTTGAGTCGTATGAAAATAATCACCACCTGAAAACCTCTGAATACAGAAGGAAACTGAACAAGATAAAGGATCAAGATTGGTTTCCAGTTATTGTACAGTACTGATAACAGCCTGATAATAGAAACAAAAACTTGTTGGGATCAAACACTCACACAACTTTTTTAGGTTTACATGAATTTCCTTGCCACAAATTCCTTCCAGGCATGCTCTTGCTGTAGCAGCCTACAGACATCTGCTGCTTCCCCATACTGCACTGTACTTCCAACTACAGTGTATATAACCATACTGTATATCCGCACGAACAGAAAGCGCAGGCAGGGGGCTAGAGGAGCTGTCTGTCTGTAGCCTGTCATTACAGATGATTCCTACAGTACTGTATGTCACAACTCTTTAGGATGAGCAGCAGACTGCACAGGTGACTCTGACGGCCGCTTTTGAAAGAAATGTCTTACAGATGGCATTAAAGGAATGTGACCTTAACGTCCTCCTCAGTGACATTTTGATTGATGTGGCATGGCGGCCATGCACATTCAAAATGTTAACTCCAGTTTTCATCAAATCTCTTTTCCTCCTGGAGAACAGATGTCTTAACACCCTTTTGCGGCAATGGACAGAAGCCATGTCAAAAGCCCTTCTTAAGCAACAACAAGGATGGTAATCTTCAAACACAAAACCTCCGGCACAAAGAGGAATTTTAAACCTCTGGATTTCACAGCTTTTGAAATGATTCCAAACATTCCTAACCTTTACGCGGCAGTCACCGATCTTTCTGAACTCTCACGTCACTCTTTTCAAGACATCAGCAACAGCTGCTGAGTGCACGGACACAGACGATCTAGATAACCACTGACGTTTGCAAAAGAATCAGAAACCCATTCAAAATTCAACGGCAAGGCAGATCTTCTGATATAATTAAGTGCCACATTTCTGAAGCACTGACTAGACAACTGTAACAATACAACAGAACCTTAATATTTCTATTCTATTCAGTTTGGGAACTGGAATTAAAATTAAAAAAATAATTCTCAGTACTCTGAAAAATGCCACCAAGAACCACCGTATGGAGGTGTTTGAATCTGCCCAGACTGAGATGATTAAGATTAGATCTCACTCGGTGCTAAGATATTAAATCTTGAATGAATTCTAATAACTACAAAGCATTGTGGAAACAGCCCTGGGCTCCAGACTGACACAAAGGGACCTGTGACCACAGAGGCTATTAACTAAAAAACCTGGAGGGGGGGAATCAACTAACAGCTCATGAAAGAAAACAGGTCACACTTTAGTTTAGGGGGTGCAAAATTCTACTTTATCAATGCGTAATAAGCCCACTGTTAATACTGTACATGTATAAAACATGAAAAACAGAACAACCTACCTTCTGCAAATTACACTAGGGTTAGAGTTGTGTTTCAGACTATAATAAGGATTGGGGTTTTGTTACGAACATGAGGGTAATCTACAGTGGAAGATGGTTATTTTC